AGGCTTTGATGAATCTTGTAAAAGGTCTGGTCTGTATACATTTGTTTGTGATTGTATGCACTTGTAGATAGGAATGCTATTTATCTGAAATTAAACTTTTGTTTCCTTTGATTGTGTAGTGTAAAGGTGTCTTTTATGCATGGATGGATTTAAGGCTAAAAGAACATCCGGACCGATTATGCCGCGAAAAGCGAGTGGACTTGTCCTGCATCAGAATATGAAGAAGAAAGATGATAAGACTGTCCCTGTATGCAGCCGAATTGGTTGCAGTTCTCGGATAAGTTCTACCAAGGGACCCTTGGCTGATCACAAAGCAAAATCCACCGTGTCTTCCTTTCGACCTCCCGTGAATGGAAAGGAAACTGTTGGGAGTTCATCTCGAAGTATGAGTGGATTTGGCGGGGCAAAAAAGGTCTCCAAAGTTATTGGTAGGAGACAGCTCTCTTCTCTTTTGGACACGGATTCTTCAGAGAATAGCAGTGTTCAGGACGAGTCAGCCATGACTGGGCGTGCTCTTCCACGTGGGAAGACCAAAGAAAGTACTATCAGTGTTCATTCTGAAAATAATGTATCTGGAGAAGTTGTGACTGAAGCCGGAAGCTCAAGTAGTGGAAGCATCAGAAGCATTCATCAGAGACCTGGTTTGGTCACCCGAGATGCTCGTGTTGGTAAGACTGGGCAAAATGCAAGAGCTAGTGTGAACAGGAATGGTATGGGAGATTTGCAGAGCAAATCTGTGTCTGATGTTCTTCCATCTAATTCAAACCCGGCAAGAAAAAGCAACATATTTAGAAAGAAAAACTCTGATGGAGAGAGCAGCTCTTCAAACAGCCGGAATAAGACAGTTGAATCAGTGGTTGGGGGAAGGAATCAAAGTTCCCCTCATAACAATGGCATCACCATGTCAGAATCTAGGAGGAACAGAAATTTACCAAGTGTTAGGGACAACAGTGTTGTTTCGAGTAGTACTAGGAGATTACCTGGTTATCATGGTAGAACAGGACGTTCTGGAGCGGTTGCAACTCTACGAGCGCCTCAGCCTGCGACACGAGCTGATCTTAATCCTTCTAGATCTGCAGAAGTTTCGCGTAGTCCTTCAAATAGTTACAGTAGACCAATCAATAGTAATGGCAGGTTACGTAGCCTGATGATGCCTGGTAGCCCCTCACGAGCTGGCCTTTCTCGCTCTTTGATGAACCGTGAAGGTTTTAGACGTTATAACATGAATGGAGTTGCAGAGGTAGTCATCCTAAGCTTTCTTGTGTAAATGTTATCCGATTGTCTTGATAACAAAATCTCATATACTTTTTCACTAAGTTTCAGGTATTGTTGGCGCTTGAAAGGATTGAACAAGACGAAGAGCTTACATATGAGGTGATTATACAGCTTTGTCTTTTGAAATGAACATGTTTTTGTTTGACTTGAGCGTTTAATTTTGACGCTGCTTCTGTTTCTTTTTTCCCCTGCAGCAATTGGCTGTTTTAGAGACCAGTCTGTTTTTAAACGGCGTGAGCAACTTCCACGACCAGCATAGAGATATGAGGCTTGACATTGATAACATGTCGTATGAGGTTAGTATTTGCCTGTTGTGTATTTTGGTTGACGGTGTAAGGCAGCATTGAAGTTATTGGCTTTTCGGTTGCAGGAACTATTAGCATTGGAAGAGAAAATGGGCACAGTAAGCACTGCTCTAAGCGAGGAAGCGCTGCTGAAAAGCCTGAAGGCAAGTATTTACCGTCAAACAGATGAATCCGGCAGCACTTGCCTGAATAAAGATGATGATGTCAAATGCAGCATTTGCCAGGTATTAATTCTCTCGTGACTCTACTCTCAATGCTAAGCTTGAAGGGGTGTTTAGAAACATAACTCGAAAAGCGGGTTTTATGCGAATATGTAGCAAGAGTATGTTGATGGAGATGAAGTAGGGAGTTTGCCTTGCCAACATATGTACCACGTCAGCTGCGCGCAACAATGGCTTCGGATGAAGAATTGGTGTCCTATTTGTAAAACCTCTGCAGAATCTCAGCCACAGCCATTTTCATGATGCTTGTAATGCAGGGGACACATCTACTTGCTGTACATAATTATTTTTTTTTTACTTACACAAAATTGGGAACAAAAAGAAAATAAGATCAGGTGGACTAATTCTTGTTTCCCCTGTATAAAAAGATTTAACATTTCAGTTGAAAATTCGAACCAATATTTTGGTTTTTTTCCATATGGTTCTGTTATTGCAACTCTTCATTCTCTTCCAAATCGGCGGTTAAAGGAAATAAAGAATCAGCCCTTACATCATTTAGTCTAGAGAAAATAGAAATTGATAACAAACGAGGATAGTTAAAGAAATTGATAACAAATGAAAGATGCAGAATTAAGCATTAGTATACGATGTACTATAGTGTTGTAAATACATTTCTGATTAATTCTGCATCTTTCATCTTCTTCCTTGCTATCAAAGTTGCATCCATTAGCTGAACAAAGTTTTGTTTGTTACATTTCACAATTTGGTAAGTAGTAGAGCTATCAAAACCATTTGGACGTTTCATCAATTAAAAAAACAAAAAAAAATTCTTGGTTTCTCCACCATCTACTCATCTCTCACAAATTACCTCATACTTTTTAATTTAAGAACCGTATTCTGTCATTCATTGCAAAGTTTCAATAATAATGGTTTCGTGGCATGAATCAGATTTTGAAAACCAAAGACTTTTAACTTCCATTGCTTGTGAAATCAAAAGTACCACAAAAAGCCACACATCTACATGTAAACCTTAATCGACCACTCCAAACAAGTGGCAGCCGGCAGGTAATAGTGATGCTATTCTACTTCCTCTATTTTCAAATGCAAGACTGATGGATCTTAAATCGATCCATCTTCGCGCTCCATGAGGAACTAAACAGTTTAGCTAGGTTGTATGGAAACTCTGTATGAGGTGCGTTTTCCGTTTCGGAAATCGAAACTCTTGAAATTCCATGGAAACGCGTTTCCTAAAAAAAATTAATTTGAAAACGCGTTTTTTAAAAGATTTTAATTTGGAAACTCAATGGAAACTTTCATTCCGTTTTGGAAACGTGACGGAAATTCGTTTCCTAGAAATTTCAAATTGGGAACACAACAGAAATGTTCGATTTTGTTTGGAAATGCGAAGAAAAATTGTTTCTTACGTGATAATTAAATAGTTTGGAAATGTAAGCATATATTTAATACTTTATAGATTAAAAACAACAAAATTATGAAAGATTGCGTTTGGTATAGAGGTCAAAAACAACAAAATTATTATACTTTTTACTTTTGTTAAGCTATTTAATAATTATGTATATAATTTGTGTTGTTCAAACTGTTTTAAATCTTGTTTTTGATGTTGTGTGCGCGTTTCCAAAATGTACCCGTTTCCTAATATTTTTAGAAAAATCGTTTCCACGTTTCCAAA